GATGCAATTTCTTTCCAGGATGCAGATGCCAGCAGCCCCCCCACCCCCGTCCGCTAGAAGCCCTGCAATAAAGCGACCCCCTCTTCCCAGCCCCCCCCTTTCCATCCAAGCCCCACTTGCTCCCAGCCAGATGCACGCATGAGCTGCCCGTGGATCCCCGGCACGGCCGTGCGGCCATGAAATCACCAAGCAGATCTGTTGCATTTTCCACGCTTGTTTCCTGTTCCCTTCCCCCCCACAGACACCCCCAAAAGCCAGCCACTGAGCAGCGGGAGGGCTCATTTCCTCAGCACCCCCACTATAAAACTGGTTCCATCTCCCCTGTACTAGGGAGTTTGATTCAAACATAATGGGGCAAATTGATCCCCTAGAACTATTTACCTGCCGGGCACTAGTTCAAATGTAGCTCTAGTCAGACTTGGGAGTGACCAACATCTTTGGGTCTCTCCCCCTACCGTGCGTGCACCCCCAAATCCTCACCCACTGAGGGTCTTTGGGGCTCATTCCCCCCCATATCCATCTGCCGAGCATCTGTGGGGTTCGTTTTCCCTGCTCCCCCATGCACCCCGAATCCCTCTGCTGAGCATCTTTGAGTCTCATTCTCCTGCATCCCCCCCGTTCCTTCCCAAATCCACATTTGGGTCTCTCCCCCTACCGTGCGTGCACCCCCAAATCCTCACCCACTGAGGGTCTTTGGGGCTCATTCCCCCCCATATCCATCTGCCGAGCATCTGTGGGGTTCGTTTTCCCTGCTCCCCCATGCACCCCGAATCCCTCTGCTGAGCATCTTTGAGTCTCATTCTCCTGCATCCCCCCCGTTCCTTCCCAAATCCACACCCATTGAGGGTCTTTGGGACTCTTCTCCCTCCATACACCCCAAAATCCCTTCACCCAGCATCTTTGGGGCTCATCTCCCCCTACTCCCCCAAATCCATCCACTGAACATCTCTGGGCCTTATTTCCTCTGCCCCCAGGCACCCCATACACACCCAACATGCATCTTTGGGCCTCGTTTCCCTGCCCCTCCTACACCCCCAAATTCATCCACCAAGCATCTCTGGGCTCCTTTCCCCTGGGCCCCCATGCACCCCATATGCACCCATCATGCGTCTTTGAGGCTCATCCCCCTGCCCTCATGCACCCCCAAATCCAGCATGTTTGGGGCTCATCTCCCTGAATACACCCCCAAATCCATCTGCTGAGAATCTTTGGGGCTCATCTCCCCTGCCCCCTATGCACCCTGAAATCCAGAATCTTTGTGCCCCATCTTCCCCCATACACCCCCAAATCCATCCACTGAACATTTCCCCTGGGCCCCCATGCACCCCATATGCACCCATCATGCGTCTTTGAGGCTCATCCCCCTGCCCTCATGCACCCCCAAATCCAGCATGTTTGGGGCTCATCTCCCTGAATACACCCCCAAATCCATCTGCTGAGAATCTTTGGGGCTCATCTCCCCTGCCCCCTATGCACCCTGAAATCCAGAATCTTTGTGCCCCATCTTCCCCCATACACCCCCAAATCCATCCGCTGAGCATCTTTGGGGCCCGTCTCTTCCTGCCCCCATACACCCCGAAATCCAGCATCTTTGGGGCCCGTCTCTTCCTGAATCCATCCGCTGAGCATCTTTGGGGCCCGTCTCTTCCTGCCCCCATACACCCCGAAATCCAGCATCTTTGGGGCCCGTCTCTTCCTGTACACCCCCAAATCCATCCGCTGAGCATCTTTGGGGCCCGTCTCTTCCTGCCCCCATGCACCCCGAAATCCAGCATCTTTGGGGCCCGTCTCCTCCTGCTCCCCGCAC